GTTATTTTATTTTATCAATTTATTATTTTATTATCATTCTACGTGACTTTACCGAAAGAACCAAAGAAGACCCTGGGCACTCTTGGAATTGAGATGTTCCGTGGCAAGTGATTGTCCAGGCAAATAGACGGAAGGCCGCTGAAGGGAAGTGCATCAGGTTACGATGGGGGCACAGGAAGGCACCGATTTACAAAAGATGGTGTCTTGGGTGCCACCTCGATATGCACGTGCAAAAGTGACGTCTCAGATTTCTGTGATCACAACCACATCTCAATGTGTTGGTGAAAAAGTCAGCAGTTCAAAATCTCGTTCTACTCTGATCATAGTCGGAGCTTGCTCAGCGTCCCCTCCTCTTGTTCTCTGCATCTGTGTCTCCTGCGCGCTGACTACTGTGTGCATCGACCGGAATACATTTTTCGACGCCGCCGTTGAGCAAGCGGTAACTACGGAGCGATTGTCTCTAGACTCGCAGGGCTTCAGTTTAACAGGCACTGGAATGAAACCAGGAGGTTGTTACCTTCAAGATAACAAACTTGAGTTTTGAGTGGCGCCCTAATGATGATGACAACAATTAACCCCTTTACTTTTTGAGCAAGAATTCAATGAAACAAATTGTCATGTCATTATTAGAATACAATTTTTACTTCAAATTGTCATGTATACTATTATATATATGCACAGCAGCAAATGCAGCTTATACCAAAGTGATTGTACTGGACAGAAATAATTCAGCTAAGCTGTTCAAGTCATTACAATACTGCAACATAAATTATCTAGAGAAAGGCATGTAAATATATATTTACTTAAAACATAAAAATAACCTGCAAATTCTTGAACCCTTTAGAATTGATCAGTCTGGATCCCATTCATGCAGTGTAACACTCGGCAATTTACTGTTCTTCCAGAAAGGTAAATTCACTTGTTGTGATGTTTAACTAATGCACCAGTTCAGCCTGGAATTATCTGCGGCTGGAATCCAAGGGGAAGGATTCGAAGGACGTGTCAGCCTCTTGGGTTTCACCTTTGTGGCCGTGCAGAATGAGGACGAGCTTTGAGGAGTATCGGGGATGCAGCTCCCTTTCCCTGAGCTCCGTATCCTCCCCATCCCTCTTAGCTTGTGTCAGTAAACGTGCTCACCAGACAAGATCACTTCATGTTTCCTTTCTCGATACGCGAGCCCCTGGCCTCTGGGGCTTTCCGCGCGTCTCTGCTAATTACGGCCCGGCATTGCGGTGCCGTAGTTTCACACAGTGGACACCTTGGCTTTCAGACGATGGATTCGGCCATACGTGTTCATCATGTGCTGCGATTTAGAAGTAACGGACCGAAGCATCGGCGAGGTGAATGTTCTTAGAATTAATGTCTACGCACGGGCAGTCCCGGCTGCAGCTCCTCTCGAACGGGGTGGGGGGACAGGAGAGCGTTGTGTGGGGGGCCACTAGGGCATTGACTCACCGCAAAAGTGAGTGGCCTTGGGTGGCCAAAGGGCCATTTGAGGGGGCAGGGCCCTACCCTGCATCTCCCTCACGCCAGCCCTGCCCACAAGAATGCTCTCTCTGGGTCACATTATTCTTCCCAAGGATACTTTATCACTTTTCCCACTAACCGCTAAAACTAACATTGAGTTGTGCGTGGATTGTAACTGCTGGGAAAATGTCATGTTCCTGGTCATGTTTACCTGGACACATGGGGAATAAAGAGACAAGAAAACACATTAAAGTTGTAGTTTTAGATATTTATTACGATAGATTCATTTCATTCCTTGTTGCACTTCAGTTTTTACAGATTTCTAAAATTATAAATAAAACGATGTTGATTTACCATGTTAAACATTTAAAGTTACGAATCATTTTGCATTTAAAATTAATCCGTATATATTTATTTTAACTTTAACCGCATTTGCTTTTGCATTCATTTGATGATCATAGCTCGTCTGTTATGTAAAAGAGTTATAGAACAAGTGTGTGCCCTGTGATTTCGCAGAAGTATACTTGACATGGGGCGCCACGTGCAGCGCGAGAGATATCACGCGAGTGCCACGGCTATCCTGCGTGACAACGAATATATTCACGGAGCTCGTCAAAACTCACACAATCTCAATTTCTCCACGTTATTTTTTTCTCCAATTTAAAAAGCGCTTGAATATTAACACTTAACAACTTTGATAATTGGCTGCGTTGAGTGGAAGAGGGTGTACGACACACATTCTACTCACGTGATCTGAGCAAAACATCAATTATGCATCGTAAGAGTTGTCGTGAAAGCCCACGTGCTGCTTCACACGTTTGGTGTCGTGAGACGTACCGGTGTAACAAACGTGTTAACGGCTCTCATCCATGACAACATTTATGGTGCCGGTTTGTCGCCGGCCCCTTCAAGTTTTTGGCCTTTGGGCCTGTGCACAACAACTGTGTTTAGGTATTTAAAAAAAGCACCCGCATGCTGAACCCATTTTGATCACCGTGCATGCCCCTAGCCAGCCCAGGCGCTCAGCGACCCTTGCAAGCCCAGTGCCGGCAATGCGCTGCGCGTACCCACCCCAGTAACCCCGTGGCTGGGCCCTCCCCACCGGCGACGCTCACGACGTCTCTAACGACGGTGCACCGCTAACGATGGAGAATGAGAACGAGTTATTGTCTACCGCAACGCGGGCTTGTCCATTGACCTGACGATATTACTACGTTTTCTTGATTTTTTTTTAAATAGGTCGCGTTTCACAGACAATATTACCCTTCGTAATTGCTTTTGAATTTGACCACGTAATTATCTGGCAGAATTTGTGTTGAAAGACCATCCGCCACCCGACATAGCCAAGCAAAACATTTATTTATTCTGCGTACAAGCAATAACCGCACCGATTTGTATCGTTGGAGCTCACCGCCAAGCTGAAGCACGGTTCTCATAACCAAACTTAGCAAACAGCTACGCGCGGTGTATGGCGAGCAAATGTGCCGCCCTACATCTTGAGGATTAAATCGACGAAGTGATGAGTTTACCAACCGAGTATTCGCTTTCTGATTTTTTATGAAGTATGGTGGAGCGTATAAAATACGTTCGCCGAGAGCACAGCCAACCAAACGTTTCGAGCCTCCAAACATTGGTGAATCCACTTCTTAAACATCACCTCAATTTCGGGGGGGGGCGGGGCAGTGGGTGAAGTTGTAAACGATGAAAAACATCCGCAGGACGGCACGCTGGCGACGTGCAGAATATGCAGGGAGCGCCGTCAGTTGCGAAGGCTGAGCGCTATTTAAATAACGCGTCTCGTAAAACCGAAGTGAGAGCTTAATTAGCGAAAGGGTAAACACGTCGCTAATTGAAGTAACACCGTGCGAGCGACGCGACGTGCCACGTGACGGCGAGCGCGCGGAGCACTCGGGCGTTATTATTTAACTCGTTTTAAATTATTACTTTTATTATTATTAATTCGATTCATCTTTAAAACATGCCAAATGGGAATAAATACCCACAAGAGGCAGGGTCTACTGTAGTAATATCGCGGGTTAATAAATAATTACCCCCCCCCCCCCCCACTTGTTTCATAGTTTTGTATTCGAATCCTCAGCCCTACATTTTTCATCTTGTGTGCATTCCTCTTCATTCCTCTTCAAAGGAAGCGCTCCGACCTGAGGCGTCTGAAATGTTTGCATTTAGCGCTAAGAATGTCAAGGAGCATCCTCCTGCCCATAAAATAAAATAACAAACGTGATGCAATAACAGCACAATGGAAACGATTGTTGACAAAAAAAAATTTTCCCCATTTTGCTTTCTGTTTGAGACGTTCACAATTATTCATAGTGAAAGTGAGGAGCACTAAGGTATTTCGTTTAGAAATATAACCACAGGCGGAGTGCACATCAGGATGACTAATCACAGATTAGGAAACATTGTTGACTCAGGATGTTGGCTTTGTGACGTGCCTGGTTTACTTGAATAGATCTATTTAACCAGAGTCTCCGTTAAGAGATCCCTGACTGTGTGAAGACAATCCCTGGCTACACTCGGATCACCTCATAGCAGAGCGCCTTTGCTATATTTTGCATTCAAGACCTATACCTTGTTACAAGGAATTTGCGTGCATTGCGCTTAAAGGCTCTACCTTGTTGAAGACTTGCCTGTGGGGTTCTCTTTGGGTTTGCCCTCATCATTAGTAAAGCCCATGCTGTTTTGCAGATTACTCGTATTATGAGTCACCTAAAGGCCTTGCTGTGTTGTTCACTGTGCAAGTTTAGGAGATATTCAGCATTTTGCACCCATTACCTGCCATTCTTCTGGCATCTATAAAAAGGGAAAAAAGCATGTTCAGGTCACACAGCAACTACCGGAATGGCCAGAAAGCAATGAAAGATACTCTGCCAGTTCTATTTTACAGCATCTAAATTGTGCATATGAGAGTGCATTTGATAGTGTAACTGTCAAATAAAAACACCCCTCGGGGGTGCTCCTGATCAAATTTAAGCTCAATCACCAATTTGTCATCATTGACTTCTTGCATAGGCCGAAGGTGACACACAAACGCTGAAGAACCAAGTTGGATTCTGCAGGGGCCTTCCATGGCCCAAACTTGAGCGTTCAGCAACGCTGGCCCACGCTCTTCCAAAGGCGTTCAGTATCATCCCGGAGGCCGACTATGCTCCTGCCAAGCTGATCACTCAATCACTTTTTAGAAAATTCATCTCAAGGATGTTGTTTTCTTACACATCAGCCGAACGGCCTTCTAGGACTGTATACATTCAGCAGCATTGGTTCATGGGTTATCATCATTACAGTTTTGAATCATCGGTTTCAACACAAGCAAACTCTGGACCCATTTTGACATTTGGTGTCTCATCAGCAGGGTCTGATGGAATGTGTAAAAAAAATACTTTATTTTTTATTTTTGTACGTGGTAGAACAGACATGCGGAACGAGGCGACGTATTGGCCGCTTATTTGTTTGGCCCCTTGCATCCTCCACAATGACGACGCTAATGAGCATGTTGCGTTTTTGCTCTCTTACAGATCGCTCGCCAGCAACAGCAGCTCCTGCAGCAGCAACAGAAGATCAACGTGCTGCAGCAGCAAATACAGGTGAGGGCGCGAGGACCTCACTGCTCGAGCGACAAGCGTATTCACGACCACGGCCAGTGGTTGCCATGCACCCGGTATACGACAGCTCGCCATACCAACGCATCTCATGACATCAAAAACGTGCGGCATACCGGCACTTTCCAGAACGGTTCCTATTCCTACCCCCGCGGCGTTTCCGCTGAGGGCAAACGGAAGTGGTCCAGGTCTGCTGCCGGACAAATAGATTTCATAGCGGCGCTTCCGCATTTACATTCCCACCACTGGACATAGGTGGACATGTACAGCACAATAACCTCCTATCTGTCACCCAAGTGGCAGTGGGTGCATGGTTCTTCCCATGGATTATGGATCCCATGAGTTGGTGCGTTATTCGGTCGATGGATACCATTGGGTGTGCAGGAAAGTCAGGAGCCCTCGGCATTGTGCCCATGGCAAGCAGCAACCACGTCTGTGCAGTGATGTTCGGTGACACGCCAGCCATCATCGCTTGAGTTGCCCAAGGCCGCGGCTCGCTCTCCGCATCTTCCTTCATCGAGCCAGAAGAAGTTGAGGTGTGCTCGTCGCACCCTGTGGCAGTGTGGAGAAGTACTAATTGCTGAGGACCCCAGGAGTGCTCAGGGCACACACAATGAGACAAAGATGGAGGATCTTCTGGGCGGGGTTGGGGGGCGAAAGTCACTCCACTCACATGTGTTCGTGAGGCCAATGAGGGGAACGAAAGATATCCCGACACCCAGCGGCTCCACGTGGTTACGTGGGAGGGAGCGTCTCGTGGCGATGCAACGGATTAACTCGCTCGTGGTGGTGGTAATCCCTGCCGACTGGCAGCATTCGTCATATAGAGGCATGGGGTACGCCCCCGATCGACTGCCCTACTTACACAAAACTATTAATTCGACTCGATTTCAGCTCAGCAACAAGTAGCTTGCTAAGTGTTAATGTACGACCGTGGCCATCTAGAACAGACCGTACAACGTATGACGAAGTAATGCCCCGATCCACAAATACAAAGGAGACGTGACGGTGATACACTCCCGCTGCTCCTGACGCGGTTGTCTGGCTTGACCACCTGAATGGTTGAATTGTAGCTTTTGCTCTGCATCTAAATCAGCAGCCATATGAAAGAAGAAGAATTATTTTACACAATAAAGAAATGCCTAGTACGGACTGAAATGCTGTGTCCCAACATGTGTACAGTAGAGCAAATACATACACCCCAGTGACAAACACACGTGGGTTTTCTAACGTTGAAATATGTCAGTTGTCTGCAACTTTTATTCTTAATTTATATTTAAGGGAGTTCCAATAACAAAGCACATTCTAAATTAGTTTGTGTACGTTGCATCTGTCTTCCAGTGCAGCCAAGAGCATGCCACTGGGAACAATGGAGGGTCTTGTTGTTCCACGTTAAAGGGCAATTACTGAGTTGAACCTAGAAGGCACAGACATTATCGCTTGCAGCACGTTCCACGCACACGGACCAAGCAGCCAGACGTGCTGCCAGGTTTGAAGCCAGAGCTTAGAAGGCTTTTGTCATGGGGTTTAGCAGATACTGCAACCACCACACTCCAGTATTGTGCGATACAAGTCATTCAACTCAACATCATCATGATGTCGAGGTGTCGGTGTATCAGATTGACTGTTTCATCTCATCCACGCTGAGTTCAACCACCACACTGCATATCACAACAACACACCCACCACTCACCCACCACTCACCAACCACACTGCAGGTCACAACAACACACCCACCACTCACACACCACTCTCCAACCACACTGCAGGTCACAACAACACGCCCACCACTCACCAACCACCCTGCAGGTCACAACAACACACCCACCACTCACCCACCACTCACCAACCACACTGGAGGTCACAACAACACACCCACCCCTCACCAACCACACTGCAGGTCACAACAACACACCCACCACTCTCCAACCACACTGCAGGTCACAACAACACACCCACCACTCACCAACCACACTGCAGGTCACAACAACACACCCACCACTCACCCACCACTCACCAGCCACACTGCAGGTCACAACAACACACCCACCACTCACCAACCACACTGCACGTCACAACAACATCCCCACCACTCACCCACCACTCACCAACCACACTGCAGGTCACAACAACATCCCCACCACTCACCCACCACTCACCAACCACACTGCACGTCACAACAACATCCCCACCACTCACCCACCACTCACCAACCACACTGCACGTCACAACAACATCCCCACCACTCACCCACCACTCACCAACCACACTGCAGGTCACAACAACACACCCACCACTCACCCACCACTCTCCAACCACACTGCAGGTCACAACAATACACCCACCACTCACCCACCACTCACCAACCACACTGCAGGTCACAACAACACACCCACCACTCACCAACTACACTGCAGGTCACAACAACACACCCACCACTCACCCACCACTCACCAACCACACTGCACGTCACAACAACATCCCCACCACTCACCCACCACTCACCAACCACACTGCACGTCACAACAACATCCCCACCACTCACCCACCACTCACCAACCACACTGCAGGTCACAACAACATCCCCACCACTCACCCACCACTCACCAACCACACTGCAGGTCACAACACACCCACCACTCACCCACCACTCACCAACCACACTGCACGTCACAACAACATCCCCACCACTCACCCACCACTCACCAACCACACTGCAGGTCACAACAACACACCCACCACTCACCAACCATACTGCAGGTCACAACAATACACCCACCACTCACCAACCACACTGCAGGTCACAACAACACACCCACCACTCACCAACCACACTGCAGGTCACAACAACACACCCACCACTCACCAACCACACTGCAGGTCACAACACACCCACCACACACCCACCACTCACCAACCACACTGCACGTCACAACAACATCCCCACCACTCACCAACCACACTGCAGGTCACAACATCCCCACCACTCACCAACCACTCACCAACCACACTGCAGGTCACAACAACACACCCACCACTCACACACCACTCACCAACCACACTGCAGGTCACAACAACACACCCACCACTCACCCACCACTCACCAACCACACTGCAGGTCACAACAACACGCCCACCACTCACCAACCACACTGCACGTCACAACAACATCCCCACCACTCACCAACCACACTGCACGTCACCTCCCTTCTCTCTCTGCTTCTTCTCTGGCACTGCTCCACTGTTTGAATTCCCTGATCCATCATCATCTCTTTTTCCCAAAGCCCCTACTACAATCACCTCGCTCAAACCAAGAAACGTGTTACACTCCTATCTCTTACAGCGTTGATGATTGTGCTAGTTGTTTGTTGCTGACCACCTAAACTCCTTGGGTCTTTGGGCCTATACTCAGCTGCTATGTAAAAAAAGCATAACTCTAATTTTATTCTATTTATACATCTCAACCTTGCACAATGGGGGGGGGCAGTCTTCTCAGCTGTGCCTGGAAGGGCCTTGCTCTGGCCGTCCACAATTCCTCTCTCCTCCCCTTTGAGTTGCAATTATTCATTCGTGCGAAATCTCTGGTCACCAGTAGACATATCATATTTGTTTTACGTTATTGCGTTCCTGTTTCACGTATCATCTGCGCAATGTTCAGACTTGCGATGGCTGAGCCGTCTGGTTTTCCACTGACAATTCGCTCACCTTTATTGCTCAATAGTGACGTCCAATAGCTCACAATACGTCTCCTTCATATGTCCATCTCTCCACATAAAAATTAAAAGTATCTCTTACACACCTATTGGCCACACGCACAGCCTTCTGGAAGTGCATAATTCCAGCAGTATTGGATTCAGTGCAAGCAAACTCTGGATCGGTTTCAACACACAGTGTCTCATCAGCAGTCAGGCTTGCTTGAACCAATGCTGGCAGACTGACAAAGATTACATGCAAGGACGCACTCTGTTAGATATGGGTCCTAGTTCGTCGCACAATTATATAATACTTAACTCAATAATCAGAAGCGTCGTTGTGGAGAATATAAATAATACAAGAAGGCAATATCTCGTTCATATATCTATCCCTCTATATAGAAAAAAACAAATGTTGTTTAAACAACCAGTCGACCTCACGACCTTCTGAGAGGCCTATGCTGCTGGAATTATGCACTCCCATAAAGCTGTGTCCAATGGGTTGTGAACGAAACACGGATTTGTGGAGGAGACATATCGTGTGCTCATCTGTTTTGTTATTTATATTCTCCACGACGACGACGACTGTAATGATTATTATTACGTCTGACAGCCCTTAAACTCGCATCAAAACAACACCATAACGCTATTCAGGAGCTCAAGTAACATCGCCTTCAACTGTTGGTTCTTACCATTACGAAAGTGATCCACTTTAATGTTTGAGTAATACCGTTGTTCCTAGTAGAGTTCCGCTATGTACAAGCATCCAGTGGATGTGTTGCTGTATGTGCGAGTGTCAAAGAGAGGAGCGGTAGTGCAACGGTTACCGCACTGCGCTACGAACCCGGTAAACCTGGGTATAAATTCCCGCTCACGGCCAACACCAGTGATGATTATCTTAACTGGTCCTGGGCCTCGCCTAGGTCGACTCAGCCTAAAATGAGTACATAGTGCGGTGTGTAGACATCGACACTTAGGGAGACAAAGGCGGCCGTGCGTGGTGGTGCTGGCCACCCACCCCCTCGTGTGCCCTGCCGGCCTTCGTAGGTGCTAATCGCTAACAGCACTTGCCCCAAAATTATGTTAAAGCTACACAGGGGATCTCTGTTGGGGCGTGCTGCATGCGCCGCGGTGCACGCGTTATTCTCGCGTTGCTTCATAAGAGCCCGGCCTGCCCGCCGATTGCCCGCATTTGTTTCGGCCCTGGTCGGGGGTTTTGACAGTGATGGTGTCCACGGACGGTGATTTATTTATGAGCACATTTCCAGAAATATTTTTAATTGAGCAACTTCT